TATTTCCTTAGATTCTGGTTTCTGAACAGTTTATTTTTATAGTATAAGCATACTTAATAGATTGGTTATCATCATATCGTATAGTAGTTTTACATGTCCAGAATATGTTAATCTAGCCTTTATTTGTTGTGAATTAGGAAGTACTTATGTTACCAAAATGGCATTCTAAGGAAAAAAGTACCATCATCTAACATAATGCTAAATTATGACTTTTTCGTGTCTTCCTTTATGACGCAGGAAACCTGGGACCCTTTTATGCAGTGGCTGGGGAAGCATGTGGATCCCGAAGGAGTAATACAATCCAGCAAGCTCTCTCTTAAATTTGTTTCATCCTGCACATCTGACATAGAAATAACTCCATCCTGTATCCCTGTTGTCACTGACTCGGAGGGCTTCTCGTCAGAAAATTTTAACTTAGAGATCTATCGGCAAAATCTGCAGACAGAACGACTTGGAAAAATAATTCTTTTTGCTGAAGTGACACCCACCACGATGAGCCTTCTGGACGGGTAAGTTCGGATCAGACCTTCTGTACTGGCTCAGAAGAAACCTGGGATGTTGATTATTCTCTCTGTGCAGTGGTGGGGGTGGGGATAGAGTTGTGGAACAGTACGTTTTAATTAACCTACTAGCAAGATGGGAGCAGAAACCCTGTTCTAGAAGAGTTAAAATGTAGGAAAGGAAGTTAAATACTGTCCTTGGATCTAATCCGAATTATCTTTTGAGGAATGGGAAGTTTTTGTACTTCGAGATTCTCTTCCTAGAATCAGGCCTTTCAGAATGTCCTTGGAAAAAGAACATTCTGGAAAAAATGTTTAACAGGTGACATTACGGCTTAAAGACAGGTTTTGTGTTACTTTTGTGTTGTTGCAACCAATGTTAAACATTTAGTTTAAGACGTTTTGCAGGGATGTTAGAACAGCAAAATTGAATCACACATAGCTGTGTTAAATGGAAGTTTTGTACTCTGAAAACCTGTCTTCTTATGTTCCCACCCAATACATTTGTTACTTTATATTTTTCCAATACATTTTTTAAACACTCTGTAATCCTGTTTGGATGTTTGAAATTTACTCTTATTGAAAGTTTTCTTTTTTAGTTCTTCTGTTTCATGGACTTTGATTGAAGGTTGAAAAATCAAAACAGATGAAAGGAATTTTTTAACCCCCAAATAAATCAGTATCAATGAATTAAAAAAAAAAAAAACCATTGCTGTCAAGGTGATTCCGACTCATAGCAACCCTATAGTCTTATATTATGCTCAGATGGTTTAAGAGGTAGAATTATGGAAGGAACGAAAAAGAAGAGCATCTCCTCTCATCATGGGACCAAAATTTAAGGAATAAAGGCCTCAAAAGTAATTGGATGCATGGTTTCTGGGATGAAATTTTCACCCTTGGGACTGCACGTTTGGACTGATGTATAATTCAACATGTGGACGTAATTTGGCCTTTCTCTTTAGTAATAATTTCTGGGATTTGATAATGTGTTGATATAAAATGAGAAGATAATGCGAGCCATCTTTATGGAAATACACCTTACTATTGGGCAACAATAACAATAATACTGTTGTTTGTTTTGCTGGTGGTTGTTTGTCACCGGGTTGATCCTAACTCATAGCGACCCCATGGGACAGAGTAGAACCACCCCATAGGGTTTTCTAGGCTGTATTCCTCATGGAAGCAGATCATCATGTCTTTCTTCCATGGAGCCGCTGGGTGGGTATGAACCACCAACCTTTTCGTTAGCAGCTGAGTGCTTAATTGTTGTGCCACCAGTGCTCGCTAACATTTATTGAAAGCTTTTATCTTCCAGAGACTGTTTTTAAGTGCTTTACGTGTGTCAGCTGATTTCACACATTATCTTTTAGTGCTTCAGGGTCATCACTGGAGCA